GATTAGTTATGGAGCTTGTAATCAGGCAGGATTACTCACTCCTCAGTTAGTATTTGAAACCAGCTCAAATCAAATTCAGCGCGGTGTTTCTGCCCAGCGCGATGAGCATTAAAGAGGCAAAAAAAACCCAAAACAAAACAAAAAAATAACACTTAAACTGCTATTTAGTTGCAGTTTAAAATACACATTTTGTCCTGCCGTGTATTAGAATTAGTACCAGACAGATGTAGTTTGAGAGAAAAAGGAAAGAATAGAGAAAAATCACTTGGCTTTAGTGTCAGTCATTGCTGGTTAGATGTGCCTCAAACACGGCGTTCAACAAAAAATTTGAATGTCAGTAGCAATAAAACAATCCTAAATATGTTCCCAAAAATATTTAAAGGAACGGCCTGACTTCTGGGAAACACACCTCGATGGGTACCATCACCAGTCTCACGTATGTGCTTTGAATACAGAACTTCAGCTAACAGCTAGCCAGCTTAGCTTAGCATGAGAACTTGAAAGAGCCAGTCTGGCTCCTCCCAGAAGCAACAAACCCACCTGCTAAGCTCAGTGTTTGTTTATCTGTACAAAAAACAAAACAAAAATAAAAGTTTAACAAGGTGGTTTTCCCTACATGTAGGACTTTTCTAAGGCAGGTGCAGGAAATTTCTAGATTTTTACCCACACTCTGCAGTCCTGATGTAAAAACAGAAATGCTTAACTGCTAGTTCTTAAACATAAACCCCGCCTCACGTCCCACTGAACTCAGGTGAGAATAGAGTAGGTAATTATCCAAATAGTTCACAGTGTGCTAACTAGAGGGCACCACATATCCCATTTACTATATCTGCAAACCAGGTGGCGTCCACTAAGTCCAGACTGAGTGTTTCCAGTTGTGAAAATATCCCGTTGTGCGCTACATGTGAGAAAAGGCAAACGAAATTGGACAACAATCCTAACTTAATTCTCCCAATGCTGTCCTGAGTTCAGATGTGAAAATCGGCTCTTGGAGGTGCTAGCAGGTGGGTTTGCTTACTTTTGGTCAAGCCCAGCTTCCAGTTTTGATGCTAAGCTCTGCTAACCACCTGCTAAGGCAACGAAACTGAGTGTATTCCCATAAAATGTCAGAAGGTTCTTACAAAGCTTTTAATCTTCCACAATTTCAAAGTGGATGTGTGCTTGGAGTGGGGGTGGAGCGCAGTCGTTTTCATGGCTTAGTGTAGGCCTGGGAGGATATAAACACTACTTATGGGTTTAATATTAAACGGGTAGAAGTTGCTGGTTCACAGTATTCACCGTGGTGGGTCACTACACATTTACACAAAACACTAGAGAGGGATGCACAGTTAAACCCTAAAGTGTAGACAGGCGATGCCAGTCT